GAACTGCACAGTTAATTTCTAAGACACATATAACAACCATATTGGCAACTAAGTTTTGAGGTTTGGTATTCTGAACTTCCTTGTCAATTTTTTGTTTGAAAACTGGTTTATGAATATGAATATTACTTCCAGAAAGCCCACTTGTTTTATTTTTCCAGATTTCTTACTGTATAGCAAAAAGTCTTCTAAATTATAAAACCAATATTCTAATTTCAGTATTCTGCCCAGAAATATAGTTACCATTTTAGCTAGCAATGTGAATTTTTCCAGATATTCTTCTGAGATCAGCAGTAAGAAATATTTATTTGTAGCTTATAGTTATTTTAAACTTTAGAAAACCCTTGTAGCAAAGAATTTTATATGTAAGAATCTGGACTTCTGTCCCATCCACTGGGTGAGCTTGACTTTTGGTCTGATCCTACATAACTGTTCTTATGTACTTAATAGATAGAAACAATCTGACACACATTATGAATTGCAGGACCTTAAATATTTTTATGTTTTTAACTACCCCATCTGAATACCCAAGCCAGTTCTTTTCCGGCATTTATAGGCTAAAAAACATTTTCAAACCCAGTTTAGCATCTAGGCTATCTAAGCAGATGGCTCCTACCTCTCCCCTTTCCCAGGCAAAGCTTTCATTGAAGTCTGTTTGATTACTCTTAAAAGGAGACGTGAGAAATTATCTGGTCTCAGAATCTTTCCTTTTGGGAGCATTTTGGTGGTTGCAGTTAGTGCAGATTAATATCCAGATCTGAACAAATAAATAGTTTGTGCTGTTGTGCTGAATAAATAGAAGACTGAAAACAGAAAAATAAGGTGATTTGCTGAACAGTTTATTTATAATTAAAAGTTCTTGCAAGCTTTAACTGATGTTTCTGGGGTTTTGTGGTTTCTTGTTTTAATCTATGATTTTTTAAGCTGCATTGTTCTAAAAAAAATAATTTAGAGCCAAGAAAAAAAAAAGAAGGATCATTTCATAGAACTATTTAATACATTTTTCTACCTTATACATAACCAAATTCACAGAAATTTAGCAATCCATCTCTCCTTCAAGGAAATACTTTCTTTTTATTTTTGATATAGAAGAATCTTATGCCAATAAAAAACTATTTGGTAATACAGACATGGTTAACAGTATCCTGAAGGTGGCTAATTTCTTACTGTGTTTTCTAAGTTAATTGTATTTATTGAAATGAAAATTACTCACATAGTGACCTACTCGTGTGTGTATGAAAGGAAGTGCAAGAGAGAGAAAGACATAGGATTTAATCCAAGCAAAAATATAAAATCAAGGAAGGATGTCTTATGACAACAATTTCTTAATCTTTGAAGTATAGAGTAAAAAAAAACAAATAATTCTGATCTTAGAATATTTTCCAAAGGTTTCCAGCAATTTATTCATAAGACCACATATTAGATTCATGTTTCCCAGCCAGAATGCATTGACTTTAACATGCAAAACCCCCCACTGTTAATGTGTGCAGGTTTTTTCAGGTGTATCCTGGCTACCTAAATGAGGAATCCATGTTCAGATTTTAAATTGTCAGATACCCATATGTAAACTGAAGTTCCAGAATAGTTTAATAATCTCATTATTAGCCATGGATGACAATGCTGAAGTGTCTGCACTTGCTTATATTTTACGATCATTATTTCTAATTTTGTACACCAGGTTCCTTAACTCTTTCACAAACTTGCCACTGATATCAGTAATGTCCATCAAAAAAAAAAAAATATCTTTTTTGTATAAAAATAATTTTTAGTAAAAAGGACCAAAATATAAGGAAACAAACAGCTGTCAAATAACTGAATTTGTCTCTAAACATAAAACTAACCCTGAAAAAAAATGAACTAGACTGTCAGTCATAAAAATTGTTATAGAAAGAAATAAAGCCAACAGCTTATTAAGCCTGCAAGAAACAGTTATTAGGCTTCTCAATATCTTTTGTGAAAATGCTTTGTAGTTTTAGCATGTTAAGAATGCCCACTGTTAAAGACTGCAAAGTCCTCTACGGGATATTCTTTTACTACCTTCACCAAAGAGCACTTTTTTTTTTCTTCAGACAATATCAGATGTTCAGACTTTTCTAACTATTAAAGATAAATATTAGTGATAAGACTTGGACAAGCAAAAATAATTGCAATAAAAAAGGCACTAGAGAGGAATTTTCATCCTTGCAGAAGGATTCTGAAACTGATATTAGTCCTGTTGAATGTGCAAGCCTATTGTCATTACTTGTACTTTTATTATCTTTGCTTTCAATTTACATCTCTAGGAAGGTGATCTTTGCTTTCCCTGGGTTTGTAATTATCATTACACTTCCTTCATCCCTCTAGTGTCCGTACTACTCCCCTTGAAGTTTTTCCAATATGTAGGTGTATTGTGTCTTCTTTATTTTTCAGTTACTATATTCAATTGTGAAGTAAATTTTGTGCTAACATTTTAGCATTCATAATATCTCCTAGTCAGCAAAGCAGAAGAGTGAAGTCTTGTCCATACACCAAAACTAGCCATGGAGATTTTTCAAAAACTTTCATCCTATTCATGGGTACCACAGTAACTGTGTATTGGATCCAATACAAATACTTAAAAATCAGGCACAGCAACTATAATGTACATTTCCAGAGTGAAATTTGAGAGATGATTTCTGTAAATGAGTGCAAGCCATTAAACTGTTCATCTTCTGGAGAGAGCCCTAGTGTTCTGGACAGTCTGGGTAATCTTTTTTGCTTAGGATATTCAAATGCTACCAGCATGTCCTCTTGCACAAGCTTGTCTGAGCCTTCATCCCCCAGGACTGCCTTCTGCACCCTATGAGCTTCAGCCCTGGGAGTTAACCTCACTGTGCCTAAGCAGAAAAGCTGTTGACTAGGCTTTATCACAGAGTTCTCCGAAAACTTCTGTATAGTCTTAGACCCAGGAAATTCAGCTCCTTGTTGTTTACACAATTTTAAGAGAAGCCTGCAAAGAGAGATAGTAACAGCTCTGAGATGCTCAGAGCTGCTGGTCACTCAGCAGATATGCACAATATCTGCACTGGCATGCCTAAGGGACCGGTGGCTTCAGACCACATGCGTTGTATTTCTGTAGCCCAGAAAAAAAGTGGTGACAAAGTCACATACAATCAAGGACAAATCTTAGCTGCTAGCATGAAATGGAGACCTTCAGTTGTCTAGAGATTATAATAGGTTATTTGGGGATGTTGGTACGTAAAAGCTTGTAGTTATACCCAGAAAGGGTCTTAGACCCCTTTATTCATCAGCCCTAGTCAAGAAACAGCTTTTTGAAGAGAGGTAAGGATGGGACTCCTTGTCCCCTAAAAGATAAAGAGAAAAATTTTGAGTGCAGGTCCAGGAAGTAGAGAAACCCCCTCAAAATCTATTTTACTGCCCATGAAATACGTTTGAATTTGAGCCTTTTCACATCCATGTGGCTGAGTTACCCTGTAAGATAGTAAATCCAAACGAATTACCAGCTCTGCGTCCATTTTATTCACACCAAAGATAGAAGACTTTCTCATGCATTATATCCAGAACAGGTCTGAGAACTCTGAATACTCCGGAAAACATTTCAAGCTGGCAATTAGGTATTCAGCTTCTTGGATGGAGGACTTTTAGGCCTCAACATTCACCTTACCTCTTCCAACTGACTAATTTAAGCATTTTCCAGCTGGATTCTATTGTATTGCCTAGTGTCCCAATGCAAAGTGTAAGGTATGTCACTGATTGCCAAAGAAGCAGGCATTGCAATGCTGAACATGGTATTATCCAGAATACTTGTATGGATTAAGTCTTCCAAGCAGTGAAGTATCCCACAGTACTTCCAGCCTGGTCAGCTACAGTGGCCCATGGTGAAGACACCTTCTGCCCATGTACCCAGCATCCCTGCCAACAATGACCTACATCTTTAGACTCTTTACACCCACTGTGAAATTAACAATGTGTTTTTCTCTTTGAGAGAGGAGACAGAGCAATGCTGAACCTTTTGTGATTCTTACTGGTGGAATAAAGAGATGGAATGTTCTCCTGCACTGTTTATAGATTGTCTTCAGCCCTAACATGAAGGGTCATCCATAGAAAGATGAATGGCCCTGGTCTTCAAGCCCATTAATTCTTTGGATTCTCTATTGAGACTGACAAAATGTTTCATTAAACAGAAGCCTGATCCAGTTCCAGTTAACTTCAGAGAAAACTGGATTGTAATCTCAGCACCAGTTGGGGTGATAGATTCTTTAGTACGGGCATTTAACTACTGATAATTTGATGGATACCAATTTCAGGTCACATACGTCTGGTTACACATCTTGCTATTATCAAGCTTTGCTTGATTTGGAGAAATAAACATACTCTTGCTTTGAAAAACTTTGCGTCCTATAACCTCAGGCTTTTTAATACATTTTCATTTTGACTTAATAGAAGTTGAGCTTAAGTTTTATGTTTCAACATAACAATTTTAATGTCTGAAAAGACGTATATTGTAAATCCTACTTGCTTTACTTGTCTGTTTTAAAAATTCAGTGATAACTAAGTGATTTTTTTCAAGAGATTCAGTAGTTCTTTTAGTTCTTATTTTAGGTTTCTGTGTTGGCACAAGGTAAAATGCTCTTACGACACTTCACCTTTATTTCTCACCAAATATCCTTTCTATATTATTATTTCTAAACATTTTTTTAATCCAGACATATACCGAACTCATATCGGCATTAATAAGAATCCCACATGCAGGGCAGGGGTATAGAAATATTCTGCAATTCTATTTTTTGGATAATGAACATTTTTCAGATTTTTTGGATAATAATGAAACAAGAATTCTCACAGAGCAGAAAACAGTACAGCTAGTATTATTACTAGAGTTTCTCATTTAACGAGTTTTTAAAAACTTACAAGGTTAGTAAACTGACATGTAACTAATGACAGGATTTATATCAGAAATATATTAGTTAATTCTTATAATGGTTGCAAAATATTTGCCCTCTAGAGTAAAACAAGTGACCAACCTTTTGTCAGGGAAGGTTCCACTTCACCTAAGACAAGAGAAAAGAACAAATGTCAGAGAACAGGTATCATCATCATTAAAAAAAAACCCACATTTTTTTTCTCATGTTGGCTCATTTTAGTAAAAAAAAAAACAACAAAACGACGAACTATTCTTTATATGATATATGACAAGCACTCTATTCTGAGATTTTGGTGTTTTCATAATGTATCTCACCAAAGAGGTTTTCCTGGGTTTAGGATAGATAAATTCAATGCGCAGTAGTAACCAAAGAAAAGTCAAAATCTGTGTTTGTGCTTCTGCATGTTAACTTGTGACTGCAATTTACAATTTGCTTGATTTTATGCATATTTCCCTGTTTTAAGGAAAGGTCCAGCCAGTGTTTCCATTTTAGCTCCAAATGATAAAATGTAGATGCAGGTTAACAAGGTTGTAAATCTAGCAGCTCTTCCAGTGAAATCCAAGGCAAAAAATCAATTTCAGTGGAAATACGAGCACTTGATTGCTGCAGTGTTTTATTCCACCTCCATGCAGGACATGAAATTTAAAGGAGTTAGCCTGAATGACTGGGGCAAGTGTGCAGCCGCCGCTGCACTGACTCCAGTGAACAGCGGGCAGGGAGTTCACATGAACTTGCTTTTTATAATATAATGCAGTAAGTTGCCTGTTGTCTTTTCACACTCCTTGAAGATACTGATGAAATTCCACAGGCTGGTAGGACTGAGGTTTTCAAACACTCTGAGCACTCATATCTTGAACTTTGGTATGTTAGGTATGTTATGACCTTTCCTACTTCCATTAACACTTGTCCACTGGAGTATTTGAATGTTTGCTGGTTCTTTGGGGGCTATGAAATGATACAAATGAACACCGTTCAAATTTTAGCAAGCTTTCCATATTTCACCTTTTCTGTTTCTCAACCGTATGAGAGACTGGCTTTCTGCTAGCTGCAAATTATATCTCAGAATAGGATGCCCAGTTCATAGGCTTACATGTAGCAGCCTATCTATTAGTATTCATATATGGTGCTAATATAAAAAGCTCATGCACACATTTAAAAGGTAGAAATTTGATAATATCTGAAGTTTATGAACAAACTGGCAAAAGTCACATTCAGTACATGTGCTTTTTAATTATATTCTGGTATAGCCAAATAGAATATAAAATAAACTACCATGAAATGAAGATATGTCTCCTACACTCATTGCTTGTCAAAATGACCAATACAATGTTACTTGATGATCCACTACTACTCTGCTTACACCAGGGAGCTCCTTTTTTTATGACAGAAGGCTAGCTATTTCTGAATTTGAAAGCCTGGTAATTTACATTCATTTATCAAATGATGTCAGATGAAGAATGTTACTATAATGCAGAAACATAGCTTCTAGTAAATTGAATTATTTGCAAGATGCCATTCAAAATCTGGTCAATTCAGCCAAAATGCTTTTTTTTCCTTTTTTTTTCTTTCTTTTTTTATTCAATATATTCTTCTGCCATAAATATATCAAATTAAAAAGTTGCAAGTTTCTTGGTCTATCTTGTATGTTTATGGGGATTCTTTAAATTCTTGCCAATTAAAAGAGAGTAGCTATTGCCATTCTCTGAAGCAATATCCTGATGCATATTTTGGTTGTGGCTTTGAAGTATGTATAAATTAGTGCTCTTTACTTCAAGTTGTACTAATGGTAATATTTAATTCTGACAGCTTTCCTGTAATGGTACATTAAACATGAAATGAAAGCTAACAAAGAGACCAATTTACTGATTGGAATAGCCAGTAGATGCTTTATTAGCAACAATGTTCACTTTTCATTTTGTTTGACCTTCTTGTCTGTGAGGTTAAAAGCTGAGTAAGCCAACATAATGCATGTAAAACAGCAGTTAGAGCAGTTACAGACTTCTTTACATTACAAATACCTTCATCACTGTCATCATCATCACTCCATACGATGTCAGACAGTAAAGAAAAAAAGCCATAAAGCCAATCAGTGGATTCTTCCAATGTCTCATGAATGATTCTCAGTGGTTCTGTGCTGAGCTTGTGAACAGATCTTCCTGAGTGCAGAGTTTAAAATAAAAGCCATTTGAAAAAAAAAAAAAAAATACTCCTTCAGTGATTAAAGTTCATCTTCATTTTATACAGGACTACTTATACTATCTCCTTTAACAGAAACAAAGATTGTGAATGTTAATCTTTATTATTTGAGGACAGCTCTCCTTCTTGTCCAGGACTGGTATAAACTATATCCTACTATATTTGCTGTTTGCAGAGCGATTAGGGACCCAGTGGATAATTTGAGCTAACACTGCACTCCAAGTTCTGGCTCTTCTTAAGAGGCTTGGTAGGGCAAAGTATAAATATAGATTTGATTCTACCTCTTTTTCATCCATTTAGATAACCACAATGACCTGGCTAACCACACAGACAGGTCGTACCATTGCCATGGAGTGCATGTGAAGGATGGGAAGAAGAAAGCTGTGTATAATCAGGCTAAAATAAACCTGAGCCCGGAATAAAGGGGAATACAAATCCAATTGTGACAGAGTCAGCTACTGCCAAACATGTACTACTGCATGGGTTGTTCTTCTCTTTCTTACAACTCTTCTAGAGTTTCTTTCATGCACATTTGTGCACATCTGCATATTTAATCAGGTCTAGTCCTACCGCTGCTGCAGGCAAGTAAGATGGAAAACAAGGAAGCTGTGAGTTTTTAGGTGCTCCACCTGTGTGGGACCTCCGGTGGAAGTAAGGCGCCTGCTCCCTACTGTATCCACACCCAAGGAGAGCAACCATCAGGGGGTAGTACCAGCATTCCCTTGAAGGCTTTTCCAGTTGTGATTTCACCAGATTTCTCCCTACCATGTTCCAGAGGAACTTTCCAGCCTCTGACAGAGTATATCTTCTGGCCTTTCTGTCCAGCAGACTTTTATTTTCTTGAAATCTGTACCAAGCACTGCTTAGGAAAAGGGACAACTCTCACTCAGTTCATGTTACTGTTCACTGTGCTTGAAAAGGCAGACTGAATGATTGCCCTATCTGTGTGAAGTTTTCCCACAAATGTAGGCAATCACAAAAATCACAAAAGTGATTTGAATCATTCACCTCATCTTGTTTCTAGGCATTTCAATAGAAATGCATGCTCAGTAGTAAGATGGGAGCTGTATCTCTGTTTACCACTATCTTTCTGTATGCAAACGTTTTAGTAAGAAGTTAAACACAAGTCTCTCCAGAACTACTTCTGGTTGCAGTGTTCTGACTCACAAGCCAAATCTTAGCAGTAATCAGAAGTATTCTTACATGGACTTGCAGGTTACAAAGACAGGCAAAGTGCAGGCTTGAAGCAACTCCTTTAATGGCAGCAGTATGAACAGTTATTTTCTAAAAGTGCTATAATGAAATATACAAGTAACTTTATTTGAAAAACAAATGGATCCCAAAATAATTCCATTTATTTCTAATTAGTTAATCTGAAGCACAAAAGACCAGGCTGACTTTCTATTATTTTCCATCCGTTTAGCAATGATGTATACCAAAGAAATATTTTTATTATTATTTTCTTGAAGGTTGTATTATATAGATATATTCTACTAAACAATCAGGTACATCAAATAAATTGATCAAGCGCCATGATGAAATGACATAATTACAAAGAAATATGTGTGATCTCTTAATTTAATCTACTATTATTTGCACTAATGTATTCAGAATGATTGAGTAGTATAACAGGGCATGTGCACTCTGTTTTTCATAAGGCATTTTATTTTCATTGGCCTCATGCATTGAGATGTAGAAATTTTATTTTTTCAACTTATTTGCCAGAAATACTTTTCTCAACTGTTTACAGGGAGAATGAATACTTATATTTATGTTATTAAGAGTAAATCTGAAACCTGACTCCTGATGTCATTTGCATTTTGCTCTAATCTAGAGGTGCTGAGGAATCCAAGGGGACTAATAGAATGGACATAACCAGAGAGATCTTAGCATAACCAAGGATTTGATTCACAAGCACAAATGGTTTAACTTTGGGCAGCTGCCTTGATTTCCACTGTGGCTTTCCACCTACTCTTTACCCACTGGTTGCTTAGGGATGGCTCAGTTGGTTTTACAGCCACGGGCTTTTAGAGCTGCAGGGACTACAGCTGTAAACTAGTCAAGAATTGGTGTCAATTTCTTTTAATATACTGGTCTATCAACTAGCAGTTCAAGAACCTCTTCACAGGTAGCAGAGCTGTTCCCCCTGGGCAGGCAAAGGAAATGCTCAGAGAAGAGCAAGATCAAGAGCAGAGGAAATTATTCCAACCACCCCAAGGCAAGCCATCTTTGCTGGTGAATCAAAGCCCCTGGTCTTTAATTCATGACATCTTCATAGCAAACTATGAAAAGGGATTAGAAATTGTAAGTGTCCAGAGGAAAAATTCTCCAGCTACACCTACACTAACAGGCCCAATCTGCAAATCCTGTTTAACATAGAAAGTTTTGGAAACTAGGGGCTGGGTAGAGGACATTTCAGTGGTATTTGCAAAATTAAATTTTGCATACAAACAGATACTGTAAGATCCACTTGCAATTTAATGGACAGGCCTGGAAAGTTATCTCATCGTGCATAGATCTTCTGTTTGACTTCAGTTGTATCTCCTAAATTTTTAAAAAGTAGTGGCAACAGTAACAGTGTGTCCTAAAACGCTTAAGAACATCACACCAGGTAATGCTGAAGTGAAAATTATTACTGGTCAAATACATGCTTTTAGCTCTCCCCAAAACTTTGCCAATAGCAGGTTCTTTTCCTAGTAGAACAAAATACACAAGAAACAAAGGAAATAAAGCAATTCAGGGTGTAAGAAGTAGAGAGAAAGATGTCACTTCACACACATGCAAAGAAAGATAACTATTTTCAGAGGATTTGCATACTCTTGCTTCAAGAGTGAACAAAGTTTGAGCTTGATATTTGGATGAAATTTAGATTTTTTTTTTTAATTTACAAATGTCCAGCAAGGGTACAGTATGGTAAATTTCTTTAGAATATCCTTGGATTCCACACATTCAGACTGGATTAACTGTCTTCTGTCTGACACTTCATTTCTTGGCAGACCTCAGAACACCCTTTATTGTAAAACTAAGTTAATAATATACTTCTCTTGTGAGACTGTGTTACATACTATGTAATATATCATTTGTTCCTAACATATAATTATAAACTGATTAATATTTTATACATGGTATGCAATGTACAGTATATATATTGTATATTTAGTGTCACATATCTTTTGTGCTGGGAATAGAAGGGGCAGGATCTTAAATTTAAACTGTAAACAGCATTTATGAATGCAGAGTATTTCTCAGATAGATAGATACATGCTGTAAAGTTCTACCTTTTGCTGAACTTGTAAATAAGGACTGAGCCAGTTCCTCTTAGATAATGTAGTAGAAAAATACTAAATGTCTGTCGAAGGAGGAAGGAGGGGAAGGAAAGAGATGATTGCACAGCAGGTTAAACTCAGGGATGAAACATGCAATTAATATTGAAGAATTTTTTTGTCAGTATGTAATTTCATTTAATCGCACCTTAAATTCAGATTATCCTATCTATCTGCCAGATGTACCTTAAAGCCAGGTGTTTCCCTAGTGGCTTCTAGACTCCCTTAAAAGTCAGTGCAGAAAGACATACTGCGACCTTCAGAAGTCCACTCTTGGTTTCCTATGACATATTTTTTAGGGTTATATGAATTAATTAGCAAAGATGTCTGTTCCTTTCCATTGACTAGGAAGGAAAGGAAACCTGAAAAATTAGCACAGATATGACAGTTCATTTTCCTGTGACTGAGGTATGTGACATAGATCCTATTAGTAGTGCTGTTTCATATTTGAATCCTTCTTTTCACTGTACACTTTGGCTAAGTACTTAGATTTGTATCTTTGCATTCATAATTGATATGATTATTCACCTTGATAAACCATTTGCATTCCAAACTAACGCTGGTACCACCAACAATGAATTACTATAACATTTTGTTTTGTTACGTTTTTTATTACTTGGTACAGTATAAGAGATGTTTTTCAGTAAAAAGGTCAGTAAAAGTTCAGCACTACTTTGCTGGCACTTTCATTGCTATGAGAATAATAAAGTTTTGCCTTTCTTTTTTTTTTCCCCAATTCTTTTGTCAAAGGCTTTTTGGCAAATGCTGAAATTTGGAAGAGTTAAAGCTACAGAGAAAGAATTCCCACCAAATTGAGTGACTTACTTTGTATACTACCTTTCAAAAAACTTTGCTGTAGGAAAACTCAATTGAATTTTGCTGGGAATGTTTGTTACCTGTTACAGATATCTGTAAGAAAATGTTGAAGCTTGTTTGAATTTTCTTTATGAAACGTATGCAAATTTGGTTAAAACTTCTTTAAGAAAGGCTTTAAGATGTTCTGTAGATATTAAATACTTATGAAAACTCACTATGTATTTTGAAACTGGCTTTCATGATCATTACATCAAAATTAAACTGCTACAATTCTTTTTAGTTCTCCAGCATTATTGGTTCAAAACCAATATTTTTTATTTAAAATGTAACAACAAGAATTCCAACCAACTAATTTCTTCAGTTCTGAATTCTGCTTGGATCACAATTTTCACTTCAATTGATTTGAAAATAGAATTCACCCCTTTTATAGTAATTAACAACTCACACTTAACACAGCTTTATGAAATCAACCAATGACAGACTTTAAAAGTCCTTCAATCAGCATTAGGTGCGTTCTTGAGACGTAAGACAATTTTTGTAAACTGACAAAGTCACTTCAATTTCAGCAAAATTGAGGTACTTTGTGAACAGAAGAAACCTTTTTTTCATCAGGACTGATAATAGGTCCTTTATCAGTGGCTTTTGGAAATAGGAATTGATTAATTACATGGCAGCACCTCAAGCAAATTTGGTTGAGTTTCATGGTTTGTGTCATTTATTCCTGTGAAGCGCACAACAGAAAGTGACTGATTTACCTGTGTAAATCACTTTATTCGTTATTAATAACTTTGCCATGAATGTAGTCTCCTATCAATCTGTTTTGCTTGTCAAATAGTTAAATACATACTCAGAGTTTAACCTCTTTTAAAAATTTGGGGGAAGGGGGGTATAATGAATTACATGAATTACTTAATAATTGTTGGATTTTCATCAATTACATATTTTGACTCTAGTGAGTTGAATGCAATTAAATTATAAATTATGGTAATTATCTGGTGTAAAGACTGACCTATGAGGTATAATCTAATACATTGATATTGACAAGGTACAGCTGATGAAGACAGAGAATTTCTGTCATGTTTGATAAAATACAAAAGCCTAACACTAGTTTGCAATAATAAAACATATCCAATTTTAGTAAAATATTCCGTTATAAAGAGAACAGTATTTTAATTTGAATGTTTATATATTTTTAATATTTGTTATTAGTAGTAGTATTTTGTTTCTACTCTGTGATCTTCTGAAGAGTAATAACATATAAAACTCAATTGATACATAAAATCTTTCATTATTAATATTGCAGTTTACCAACATAATTGTCCTTAACTATTATCTACCTATTTCATATAGTAACATCTGGCATGCTTATGACACTAATCTGCAGGACAAACTCAAGTGAATATCACTGAATTGTAAGCATAAATATATCATATTAATTATATTGAATTGCAAGTATAAAAACTATACCCACCCCCCTCAGACTCGATATTACCCAGTAATTTCCATTATATAGGTACTTAAGTCATAAATATGAAGACTGCAGTTCATAGCATAAAACTTCTCTGTCTCTTTCTAATATCAGCCAAATGAGAACAAAGTAGTTATAACTAGAATCTAGTTGCCAAACTTTAGAAAGAAATTCACAAAGTGTCACAATCCATCAGTTAATACCAGGCATTTTTTATATAGTCACACATTGTTGTATATGGCTTGATTTGAAGTCAGCTCAAAGACTTTTGGTTTGACCCTAATCAGGTTGTGTTTTCTGAAACAGGGAGACATTTTATCTAAAGTAATTTGAAGATTTATTGTTCATCATTGCAAGTATTCAATTCTCTAAGAACACAGATCTTAACTTTAGATTAAAAAAGCAATACTGTTAAAAAAATGTACAACGGCATTTTTAAAGGGCAATTAGGAGGGTAAATTGAGTACCTCTCAGCTTGTCACCCTTTCCTGGGAGTCTCCTGACTGAGGGCGACTCTTAGCTGACAGACCTTTTTCAAGCATGTATGAAAATGGGGAGGAGGCTATTGCAAAGAATTTTGCAGCCCCAGTGAGCCAGAATTGGGGTTAGTGGAGAAGCAGTGCTGCCACATCCTGGCACTCTGCTAGTGCCCATGCTTTGTTATTGCTGTCTATCAGACCGCACGCACACACACATATTGAGAGCACTGCAGGCAGAAAGTCTTTACCAGGTGGTAAACAGGGATCATCACAATGTTGTGAATAGGTGGCTATAGCAGATGGCAACAGGATGAAACCCAGAAAGGCCAATGAAAAAAAGGAAGAAACACCATTAGTGATAATGAACATCCTCAGCTGTCACTTGACTAAAGGAAGCAGTTAAGAAGTGAAGTGAGGAATTATTTAATTTCTGTGGGTCTGCTGTTATGAAGAAGAAATTGGAGTTCATTACAAAGAAAACAATACACTGTAGATGTGAAATAATACAGTAAGAAAGCAATGTAAAACATGGTTAAATAAGGCACAGGTATTTTCACAAACTACAAACATTCTACTGCTGGAAAAGAATTTATTACATACAGTGGATTTTAGTTGAATTATTTAGATTTCTTCAACAGCAAGTAAATAAAGAATTACACTAATGCACTTGCTACTGAAATGAATTGCTAGTTTTGTTTGTTTAAAATTAGAAATTTCACAGATACCATTATGGACCATAAATTCGGGCTGTGTTTTGTATCCCGTGATGTGCATTCAAACACACAAGACCTTTCTCTTCTCAGATCCTTCCCTATTTATTGAGACAGTTTCTGAAATGTCTTATTTTCAACTTTGTGACCTTCGTGACCTTGATCTATCACAGTTTATCATCTTATGTATGCTAGACCATTTGGGATGAACACAGTACTTGCAGCACTGCAATACTTCATAGACTGTCATTCTTTCCAGCATAATTTAATTTTCTAGGGGTTTATAACTCAGCTGTGAGATTTTCTGCAGTGTGAAACACGAGAAATAAGATGTCATCTGGGCAGCCCTTCTTTAAACTAGAATAGGGTTTAAATCCCTTTAATTGGTTTTATCATTCTGTTTTATCATTATGGAAGACAGTGAAAAACAAATTGTTTTGTAGGTTTGAGTGCATTATTTGAAGTACCATATAATTCAATTAAAAAATCTCATTAAGAACTTTGCAATGGATAAACTGTTTATTCATGCTATGGATTGACAACTTTAAATACAGTAAAAATTGTGTTTCAAAAGGTTATAGCACTGTTTTGATAAATTCCAAGGTAAGCACAGTAAGGGTCAATACCTTTTTTACCAATTATTTCAAATTGGTGAAACTTTGAAACACCTCTTTAACCAAGAGACAAAATTATTTGTTCCATTAAGTTCACTGGTGCTTTAAAATAAGCTGGAAGTTTATTATTTCTCCTGTGTAAGTGCAAAAGTAATATCAGTTTTTGGATATACCGTTACAAATACAATAGTAAATATAAGTAGCATCTTATTTTTGCAGTTGTTAAAAGTTTCCAGTGATTACGAGTTCAACAGAAAGACCACACAGTGATGACATTTTGGGAGAAAAATGGATGTATGCATTCCTAATAATTATTATTAATTCACAAAAAAAAAAAAATCAGTAGAATAGCTGCATTTTGCTGACTTCCACTTCTCTTCTGTCATTGACAGGCATTGCCTCCATAGAGATCTGCCTTCATTACAGGTCTCTAAAAAGACTCCTTATAGCTAAGCAAAAGGAATTATCCACCACAAAGAATCTGCACTTTTTTCTTTTAAGAAAGCAGTCACCACAAAATGGCAAGTTCACCATGCTGTGTGCCTGCTAATTTCACTTAGATTATTTTGTGTATAGTCTTGGGTTTTACAGATTTAGTGAGTTTTATTAGGTTTGATTTAGTTTGGCCTTCAGGTGACTGGCTAAATCACTATCAATTTACTCTGAATATTGAAAGCTCTGGATCTGAAATTAGGGCTGTGTTAATTAGCTGTAATTGGTCACAGAGATGGCAGAGAATTCTGAACACTTTATTAGCCCATCAGCAAACGTGGATTCCTGGGCAATCAATCTTCAGGATTGAAATAAATTATTTAGTTACATTTACCAATTAAAATAGATAATCCAGTTATGTGTACAAGAAATGCATGAAATACATCCCTGAATTATGAAACCAATTAAGGTGCGTTTTCTAACCACAAAGGATGGTAGTAATAACAAACAGTTGCAAAGCCCACATCAAACCAAAATGAGTCATTTTCTGCATTTCTGAAAACACTGAGAACGTATGAAATCTTCCAATGCTACTTATTCATACACACTACATGCTTCATGAGATTCCTAGTTTCTTATCTCAGACTTCTGTAATGCATATCACCTTCATACCGCATTAGAAATATTTCATTCATGTTTATAGTTGTGCAATACAACATGGTAGGAAAGCAAGCTTTCATTCCTCAAAGGAATGAACATAATAAAGTGAAACACTGCAAAATTTAATTTCTTTCTGGGTAGATAGAACAAAGGAGAATCTTTCAGCACTGATTTAATTCTTGTCTCACAATTTCCTCAAAATCCACTGCCAAAGCTGACTTGCACATCCCATCTCTGTTCTAACCTCTGAGCAAACTGACACGTAACCACCAAGGAGGCCCCACTTTATACATGCAATCCATAACACAGGGTCCTCCTGCAATATTTTGCATCATAACCACACCTCCTGAATACTACAGAGCACTACAGAATTTACAGTCAGCATGTTCTGGATGTGTAAAATTGCACAAAATATACCTTAAATCTTTCTATGAGTGGAGCTTGAATTCATGTATTCTAACTTCAGCTACTGAAATACCTTATCTTACCTCAGTTCTAATGGCTCCCTTTCAAATACCAAATAGAGAGGGTCTCCCCACCAAAGTAATTTAGCACATCTATTTTACAATGAAAATATCTCATTTTCATATAGTTACTCCTGGTACAAATTTCATCTTATATAAACCGTCAAAATTCCCAAAGTTGATAGTTTACTTCTGAAAGAATGTAAAACCATAGTAATCGAGAAGAAAAATCTATGGTTTGGCAGTCTAATCATAGAAGCCACTTGAAGTTTATACTGATAAATTAAAAGAATACACAAGACCTAAAATATATACTTTATGTCTATTTTGAATTAATTCCCCTTAAGGTAATGACAGCAATATTGTTGATTGTTGAAAGGTAATGACAGCAATATTGTTGATTGTTGAAATAAGAAAATAATTTCTGAGTTCAAATCTAAACTACTTTCTACTCTGCTGATGTGTTTCTACTTAGTTCCATGAATATCTGTGTATCTGGGTAACTCATAACTTAGGGCATTCACTTCCTTTATTGGCCAGAGGCTAACAGCTCTGTAGTGTAATCAAGAGGAACAAAACTGTGTATATTCCTCAGACACAAGATTCCTAGCTTGATTTGCTATGTCAAGCCCCTATTTTCTGGTGAAGTCAGTCCTGTGTAGTACAGTCACTACTAGCAGCTCTGCTATGGAGACAGTCATTTCTTGCACAGAGATGTAGTGAAAGTCTCTGGTAGCAGCCTGTAAGTTGAAGTCCCTTGTCATCTTTGTAACCGCTCTTTAAAAATTTGCAGGCTTCTCCTAGGTCACCCCTCAGTTTTCTCTTCTCTAGACTGAGCAAGTTTCTCTCTCTCAGCTTGCTTCATTCATATGCTATGCATACTTCCTAAACTTGGACTTCATGGAACTTCAGGTAAAGAAAAGGGAAAGAAATTGAATGCACTGACTTATGAAAGTGTTATTTAAGGAAAAATACACTGAATATTCTGTGTTTTATAGATTAAAAAAGTACAGTTGAATATAATTTCTTTGGTATCCTTCATTTACATTTGAAAACTAGGAAATTAATTTTAATCATGCTTGCAAAACTAAACTTACAGTCCTGAAAGTAATCATTCACTTTTTTATGCAGGTCTGGTTGTTCAAAGAACAGTATCAAGCCCAAGAGAAAATTTCACTGGATTTTAGAATTAATGAGTCCCTAAAAAATACACTTCAGATTTTGCTTTCTATATGAAAAGATGGCATTATCTTCAATGGACACAAAAGGCCAAACTCTCAGAGGGTGAAAATCATTTTAGTGTCAATAACGCCTGACAGGTGCTCTTATGTGAAATCTTCAGCTATGTCCATGGACTTTTTATAAATAAGGGGTTTAAACTGGAAAAAACAGACTGAGTAGGAACTCAGGAGTAGAAAAGCAAGGGTCATGATAAGAACTGTGTAGTCGTTGGTATGTAAATACAAATAACAGTCTAATGAATTCTGCTCTACAGGAGCACAGCAGTTTCTCCTCTTAACATTTCAGCATTAAGACCCGATTTAAAAGGTAGCTTAATTTATCACTTAGGAACAGAAATATCTTTGGAGAGGAAAAGAAACAAACTCATGAACTCAAACTCAAAGTACTAGAGTATCATCTCGCAGAAATCTCCACAAAATACAAACTTACTCCGCAGATTAAATTTTACGTTATTTTATGTCTACAGCTTGGTCTGAAAATATCAGTTTCCATCAACACCTGTGGGATTTAAACTCATTTAACCAATACAACATGAACATCAGATTTCCATCTGCTTAGAAAATTTCCAGAGTCTCCAGTACAAATTCAGATTCTCATTGCTTAGCAGTACCCTGACTAGTGTATTGAGCATGTATGAGCTGACAGCCAGTTCAGGAATTGCTTAGTCTAAGAGTTTGTGCCCTGGCTTTTGACTGCTCATTGAAAAAATGTTAAGAACTTGATTGAATGATTGATTGATTGATTGATATTTCATATGGAAAATTAAAAGCAGAATATGGTGGTGTGTCGCTCTTGGTTTTTATCTGTCTGTGTTGTAGCATTAAGCATGTGGTGCCATAATTAAAATCTGATGCCTGTTTTGGGATGATTGTTGAAAAATATATTTTGCTAGGAAAGTGACTTCCTTCTGAAAATGAAGACAGATGAGAAGCAAAAAAATCTGAGAGGCTTATGATATGTTTTCTCCATATTTCAAGCCTCTGTGTCACCCATTGATCCAGGATTGGTTGGTTTCTTTCAAGATCTGTGTCTCAAAACCATTTTAAGTAAATCTTGAGGTCAATATTGATATATAGCAGGACAAAATTCTATCAATTTATCAGTAACTAATAAAGTCCAGGAAATTAACTTTGAAACATCAACTCAATTTGTTTTGAATTAAAAGGCTGAAGTTTGAATTTCAATTCCTAGTAAATTTTTGTTACAGATGTGATAACTTTAGAGCTGGAGTTCTTATTTAAAAAAGAAAAAAAAACATAACCATTTGTTTTCTATTTTACATACATGTTTCCCAGTCATTACAGGCTGTTTATCTCACAGAAGTTTGGCTTGCCGAAGATTATGCGCCCTTTACAAACATAGGTTGTCAATTTATTTTACTTTTCACTATATATCATTGCTAGACACAATGTATAAAAATCAAGTAGCAGTGAGGTAATTTCTCTTCCCCACTCCTTTCCTCTCTTTTCTCAACCAGGATCATATTCCTTGTGCCACCCACTTCATTTTCATCTTTGCCTTCAGTAACCAATATGTACCTCAAATCTTAATCTTCAGTCAATTTGCCAAGTCTTAAACTAAGCTAGAATTATGGCCTTATTGAAAACAAGGGTGTGACTTAGCTAATAGTAAGAATCTGGTCCTCTGTGCTTATAATTTTTTCAGATGAATTTAGAGCTACCATGTTTAGAAATTATCTTTTGCACTTTTCTTGCCACTGAGCTATACAAGCATGTCAGAATACTGAAGGCAGCTATGAAGTTTTTAAAATATGTTACAGAAAATGTGAATTATTTTATCCTTCTTGAAATGCTTTTATATAGAAATTTCAAAACAGAAATCTGACCATACATGCTCATATACACATTATATTGCTGTCAACATACACATTTTCCAAGATGACAAGGAGCTGCAAATGAAGATATTTAAATCATAAAAATGTATGAAGTGTAAACTAGCATATTCTGACTCTTCTCATAGTATCTCTTCTCTTGGTAAACTCAGCAAAGACACTATGCTCTCTCCAAGAATGTAAAGGATGTGCATATTTACATAATACATACTCCTTAATTTTTTTTTTTTAATTTTAATATACAGGATGTCAAACAGAATATGCTGAATTTTACCTGCAAAGGCTTTGTAATCCACCAAGTCAAACATTACAATAGCTACTGCTGACCAGGTAACAATCAGAGCAACGACAAGAATCCATACTGCTGGTGAGCTGAACGTTGTCACAAGGTCCTCCGTAACAGATTTTTTGCCCACTTTCATGGATGATGAAGGAACAGATTCATTCTTACCATCTATTATTGTCGTGGTTGTAGACATATGTCCTAGGTAAAAAGACAAAGCAGAGGAAAATAGAATATAACACTTGGAACCTAAAAATCAAGAATATCGTTGTTCTGAAATCAATCTGTAATCAGAATATTTAGCATAGATGCGAATATTGTATTATTAAAGGCAGGCAATTGTGCTTTCTGGAAGGAGTTTTTCCTGAACTGGGGCCACTTTTAGTAAAGTTAACTTTGGAAATAGTGAAATTATAATGAAATAGCCATGACCAGCCTTTTGATTACAATATGATATTTTTTAGTCTGCCATGAGTAGCTACAGACCTGGGAGAGTGATTGATGAAAGCATAAAATATTATTACTCTCCAAAGGGCTGTCTTGTTATGGGCTGTAGGCCAGATTCTCAGGTGATGTGATTAAGTGTACTTCCATTGACTGTAATGGAGCTAATGTGTAATGGAGTAATGCCACTGGAGGTTTGGCTGGAATTCTGCTGTCAAGGACACATATCAATAGCAATAGGAACATATATACTCCATTTTATCTAATAGGAACACAAATGATTTACATGTCCAGTATCCTTACAAGTTGCCGAATGGCTTGTAGTTGATTTTAAAATATATTTGTGTTATTTCTGACTTAATGATAAAGTCTCCTAAAAAACAAGAATAACAGTGTCAAAGCAGACTGGATTCCAGAAAGCACAGGTTTGTGCTAGAAAGCTGGTAGGAAGGTGAGTATTTACATACATTACCTAAGAAAACAGGTGACATGCATTAACTGTTTAGTGAAGAGTCAACAATAGTGACTTAATCTGCTTCTTCCTGGAGTATTAAGGAAAGTTAATTCAGGACACAAGCCAAAATTATGGTTATGGAAACCTGACCACATTTGAAAGTTCTCAAATTACTCTTCTTCACAAGAGAAAGTGATGACTTAAAGAATCATGGTTGGTATTTGTTTTCCAGTATATACAATAACAGTAGTAAAAACATTCATAACTCCACAGCCAAAAACTAGAAGAGCACAGTATCTATACTTAGGTTTAGAATATATGCATGTGTGCTGATGTTAAAGTATTCAAAGATATAATAAATATATTCCTGGTCTGTTTGATGATACCAACTGTCCTAAATTAACGCTAGTGATTTCAGGTACCCTTGCCAAAACAGAGGTGTGAAATTTCAAGGAATCAGATGCTGCCTGTTGGGCTCATACTTTTGCTTCTTGCACTGAGATCACCTATCTTCTCTCACAGCTGATAAAACTTATAAAGATGATCATTTTCTAGGATTATGACTATTTTCTAGTATTATGAGGTAAGGAAGCTGACAGACCTGCTTTATACACAGATTAACAGATTTTGTTTCAATTTTCACATAGAAAATGGCAAATATTCATTTGGAAACCATCTCTAGAACTAAGGTACAGGGCTGTTGAGGACTTTCAGATATTTGCAATCACAACATCTATGTAGCCTCTATGAGAATCACTATATTGATATTCTTAAATAAATAAAGGAAGGAAGGATTAGTTCCTTGATATTAACTTGACATTACCAATAGCTATGTATATTAATCGCTAAAAAGAAAAAAGGCATAACAAGTCCTCCAATCCTTATGCTAATGAATATTGTTTTTCTGCAGAAAGTGAGAACAGTAATCTAATGTGCTACTGAAATGACCTTAATGTATCTCACATATATCTGTAGAACTGTGAAAGACAATTCTGGTATCAGAAGTTCCCTAACTCTAAATCTGTCATATCCATAGAGTGTTCAAATTGATAACCCAAACTATTCTACAGTGCTTTTGTTTGTTATGTAGGGCATTGTGTGTACTTCCCTTAGCTCTACCTTTTAAACTTCCTTCTGCACAAGCATCCTAACACTGATCAGTGCCTTGCTTCAAGCACTGGAAAGCTGTTCTGCTACACAGCAGTGTTGTATAAGCAGAAGAAGATTGGCATATTACATGCTTTTGTTACTTATTTGAAAACTAGTCTTATTTATAGAATGTTTATTCTGTTTATGAATAATGTCTATCTACTAGGATAGAATTTATACACTCTTTTAAAAGAAAAAATATTATAAAACCATCACTATTTCCATTTATTCAAACATAAATTTTAGATCAAACATTTCACAGCAGGAGGAAAAATCTGCCAAGTGACAAATAGCAATAAAGATCTGATTCCAAAAGTCAAATTCAGAATCAACAGCATTTTGTTATTCTACTGCATACAAAATGCTAGTAATTTGTACATGCAACAGGTCATAAACGACACATTATGCATTTTTTTTCTCTTGTGAATATCAGTCAGAGTTTATGATATGTAAGAGAGAATAGAAAGGTACTGTCTCATCTTGACTATCTGATTACTACCACAGCACATCTCCAAGGACATACTAATGACAGATACTTGCACAGTTATAATATACAAGCAACTAAAACTCTACGTGTGTATATAGATAAAGACTTAAAATTACCATTCAAAGGACCATTCCTCCAGGTTTGTTGCTATGTGAAAACTGTTCTTTCCTATTTGGTATACCTCACTTTTCAAATTCATGCTGCTATATGCCTTCTTTGATAAAGAAAACAGCTTCCCATAATTTATCCATCTAAGCAATGCTACAGAGACAAAGCTGAAGTATCCTGGAAAATTATCTTTTGCATGCTTTTGGCTGCTGATGTAGCTGTGGCAGATTTCTCCTTAAAAACTCAGGATGTTATACAACAAAATCACCACCATCACATTCATTGAAATGGGAGAACAGCTATTAACTAGAAGTCAAGCTAAGACTAATGCTGTTACACTGCCAGAGCTTCCTGATGCAAGTGCTTGCAGTATGATTCAGGAGACCTAAGAAAGTTCTCTAGTGCTGTTAGGGATGCTTCATGATATCAGAGATATACAGGACTGTCAGGCACAATCTATAGCACACTAACTTCTGAATCTCCTGTAAGAACCCAGACAGAATATCCTAAACCACTGAAAATAGAAATTAGACTTTTATGTTCTTAGATGCTAATATAAACAAAATTGGCTGGAGGAGTTTATCTGAGAACTCCCAAGGGAGATATTGATATTGCTACTACACAATCTCATGTGGGGGTTGATTCCAAAAAGTCCAAGATGACTGCCCTCCCCCCTAAAACCATTCTGTTATTGCATGGTACTATCCTGATGCCTTTCTCTGCCTGTTCCTTGCTTTGAAGTGCCCAGGTGTTGCGTGCATTTTTGTCCATTTTCCTCCAGCGCTAATCTCCCCAAACCTGCAGCAGTGCTATTTACACAGCAAGGCCAGTAGAGAAAGAGGGGACCTACACACACGCAATGTTTCCAACAGTTCAGCCAGCACTCCATAGTTAAGCAGAGCTCCTGCCCAAAAGGTCAGTGGGTCTTCAGTTGCCCCATGGAGGAATGAGAGACAGGCTTTTTTATTGCTGTGAAATCATCTGATAGAGGCTAGAGAGTTTTACTTCTGCAACTGAGAAGGGCCATTCAGCAACAGGTTAAAATCAGATTACTGAACTTTTCCAGACATCCTTGCTGCCCATAAAATACACATTTTCTCTCCCAAGACAATTTTCACTCTGTATTACATCCAACCAGAATCCAAGGCAGTTAACTTTAAATGAACACTGCAGTGGATCAAGAAATCATGAGCATATCAGTTGTCCCTGCTTTGAGGGAGGCAACATCCATCACAGGAGTGGAGGGTGCAGCTGAAGGCTGTTACAAGTTCAGCCATCCAATTCTAGTCCACCACCATGTCTGCTAGAGCCTCCTGCACTTTGGGTTGTGATTGCTATTGGTTTGCAATGAGGATGGGAACTTAAAAGAATTATGTATACATTTCTATAAAATGATTATTCTGGGGATATGTACCTCTAACTCCACAGTTTCTCATGCACACAGAGCTATACCCTAGGGTCACAAATGTCACATTTACATCAATGGACTGATTTGCTAAATTCCAAACAGCTAAAACTCTGAGATTCTTACTATTCCTGCTGTTTCAGAGTTGTCACTTAGGATACAATCTGAAGAACCGTAAGGTCTCACAAGTATAAATAAACCTCGACAATTGGTGACAACTTTGAGATGAACACCATGTGACTTTCAGAGGCCAGAGTGAGCTTGTAGTCCTAGCAGCTTAGATAAAATACTCTTTGCATTTGTGAGTAGAGCTCCCTTAAGGCATAATAAGCATAGGAGTCTATGGTTAAGAATGGGCACTTGATTTTACAGTTCAACAACTATACCTTCCAATACCCAGAAGAAAAACCAAACAGGAAACAGAACAAAAAATACCCCTACTCCGTTCAGACTCATTCAAACATAAAGCAGTAATTTTCTGTATTTATGTTATAGGTTTTATTTTGGTTTGTTTTGGTTTGTTTGTTTTGTTTTTGGTTTTGGTTTTTTTTTATATAACAGTCCTAGTTCTGCCAATAGCAGCAAAAATAAAAATAAAAAGACAATCACATAAAATATTCAATATGCAATGCATTTTTAAGGCGGAGCATATTAAAAACAAAGGGCTAGTCACAGAATCATAGAATCATAGAATAGTTAGGGCTGGAAAGGAACTTAAGATCATCTAGTTCCAACCCCCCTGCCATGGGCAGGGACACCTCACACTGAACCGTGTCACCCAAGGCTCTGTTCAACTGGACTTGAGTACCATCAGGGATGGAGCATTCACAACTTCCCTGGGCAGCCTGCTCCAGTGCCTCACTACCCTTACAGTAAAGAATTTCTTCCTTATATCCAATCCAAACTTCCCCTGTTTAGGTTTTAACCCATTACCCTTTGTTCTATCACTACAGTCCCTAATGAAGAGTCCCTCCCCAGCATCCTTATAGGCCCCCTTCAGACACTGGAAGGCTGCTATAAGGTCTCCACGCAGCCTTCTCTTCTCAAGGCTGAACAGCTCCAACTTTCTCAGCCTATCTTCATACAGGAGGTGCTCCAGTCATGCTACTAAAAAAAACGTAGATGTCTTTTAAATACTGTTGCTAGGGCATTTC